AGAGATTTATCTATGTAAATTGTATGGGGTCTTTGTTTTTTTTTGTTTATGTTTTTTATAAAAATGATCAGCGGAAAATGTCCTGAAGCCATTTCGGACCTTAGGTCTCTGATTGGGACCCGGAAGGAAATGTGTATACAACAGAAACGAAAGGAAATAATAATAATAATAATAATAATGATAACATGCACACACGCATAATTATGCACATAAACATGTGAATATTTAGACTGCAATTGTAAACAGAAACAAGTTTTCTTAAATAGAGATAAAGATATTTAAAATATTTTTATGAACATTTATGTACAAGACAACGCATGCCTGAATACAGTGAATGAATTATCGACATCTTTGGGATCTAGCGCTTTCGAGTTCTGTATCAAGTACTGCAGCCGTAGACGAAGAAATGTGTCTAGTACAGGATTGTCTGATGCAAGCCATCCTTCTTAAGATAGGTTTTGAATTCGCAATATTCATTCTAATGGATTAGTAGCCACATCACTTTAAGGGAGGCCCGTCTGTCGTGCTATTTATTGGCGCAAAAATGGACAATGCTCTCCGCCGGAATTCGAATTTGCTTTGCGTAGATAGTCTAGGCGTAAAAGCGTCGGCTGGTGTTTACCTTTTGTTTTTCGGATGTACTGTTTATAATAAACAGTATCAAACAACATTTACCGGCCTGAATGTCCGAGCGTTTACTTAAATATTTGTATCTATAAAAAGAATATGTAAACATAAAAATGTCTTAAAATAATTGTCGGACTTTGTCCATTTCATAATGTGTGACGTCATTTGTTTACATTTGGATACGCCATGAGCAGATATGAATATACGTGAGACACTCATGGAAGATTGTAGTTTAAAAACAGTAAAATTGACCTTGCTAACCGAACGCTCCTCTGTGGCCAAATCGGTTAAAGGCACGTCAGGCTATATGAGGGTTCCGTATAGGATACAGGTTCGATTCCTGTCGGAGAGCGAATATTTTCTATGAAAATTTCTCGGGCATTCAGGCCGGTAAATGTTGTTTAATACTGTTTATTATAAACGGAGTATTTACTTAAATATTTGTATCTATAAAAAGAATGTAAAAACATAAAAATTTGTATGTTGGTGTGAGTGTGTCGCCGTTGATATGCGTGTGTGTAACTCGTACAGGAGGGGGCCAAGGTAAAAAAAGGAGGAGGAATTTTTTTTCCTTCGGTCGGATGATTAACATGAGCAGAAATGGAATAAGTGTAAGCAGAGCGTGATTCTTTTAGCGCGTTTTAGTCTGTGTATATACCTTAGTGAGGGAAACAAATCGTTACCTATCACTTCAAGCCGATCACACAGCCATGTTTCTTTCCAGGTAGAAACTGTAGTTGCATTGGCTTCCTATTTTATGGAAGAGAGCACCTTGATGGTGAACCGGAAGTTATCTGGGATTGGACTAAAAATTGCCAAGAGGAGTCGAAGTGTCTAGTCAGAGGGATGAAAAAAATCGTAGCTAACGGAAGATACACAAGTCGATACCCGATTAGTATCGGCTGGGTCAACGTTGAGATGGGGTTGTGACCCGAAACCTCTAATGAACCTCGGGTAGAAACATCACTGATGATGCGTCCCTAAGCATCCAGTAGATGTATTTTACAAAACATAATCAGAAATGCAACATGAAAGTTGTCAACTAGTTTTCATTACTGTATGTTTCATCCACGCCCAAACATTAGAAGGATGAAATGTGTGATTCGTGAATACACGGACCAATGAAAAATCTCCGCCAAGTCCTACGTTGTTTTCTTGTTTTCGGAAAATGTTTTACCATCAACAAATCCTGTCGCAGTTTAGATATATTTCTTTACAGCTTATGTGGCAGTAAATTATTTTTACTTTTTTGCATTCTTAATCATTAAACTGGTCTCCTCTATTTTACATCGATTAATTTATTTACATTAATTTATTCTTAGTAATATTTTATATCATTATTCATATTAATATATGAATAAATTACATGGTATATATACATACATATATATATATATATATATATATATATATATATATATATATATATATATATATATATATATATATATATTCATATAAATATATGAATAAAGGCTATATATATATATATATATACACACACACACACATATATATATATATAAGATGTATTGTGCTATATATATATATATATATATATATATATATATATATATATATTAACATACAACGTGTGTTAGCACATGCGATACCCTGTCTTCATCAGCTGCCGACCAGGGTGATCTCACGGTTTCGGTGGCTATGGCGGGACCGCCACCCCTGGCGCCACCAGCAGCGTTTGCCAACAGGCAGGGTATGAAGATAAGCTAATTAATCGTTCCTTTAAGTAAATTCTATCTGTCATGCAAGTTTCCTGAACGCATTTTCCGTTATTGACGCGCCCGTAAAAATCGTTATAAACGACCCCGCAAATATTTCACTTGCGCATGTTAGGTCGTGATGTGCAAGTGAAATATTTGCGTGGTCGTCTATAACGATTTTTACTGAAATAATATATATATATATATATATATATATATATATATATATATATATATAAAACATTAGGCAGCATATGATTTACATACAAAGAATAATCACACATAGAATTAATCAGAAGTATTAATGCGATTATTGGCGACATCCATCGCTTGAAAAACATAATATATGCATTAAAATATTATTGATCCGCAGTACATAAAAAAATTCTAATAAAAAAATTACTACTATGACATTACACTATATTATTGAACTATATACTTAGTTCATCACATAAAAACTGAATACACTTGTAAAAATAGAATACGTGGATTTAACACATCACAAGAAATATTTAAATAAAATTCTCACTTAAAAATTTTGAAAAACTTAGCGTTGCGTCTTTGCACGTTCCGATATCTTACAACCGTCAATAACAGCAGATATTCAAAAAACATCTTTCGGTCGACATACAGGTATATCGTCTCAAGTTTTTGATTTTATAAGGAAAAAAAAAAAAAAAAAAACTCATGCCTGATGATGGATGGAAGACTGTCCGTAAGTACTAGCATTTTAACATCAAATAAACTGAAAAACTACAGACAACAAGTTTTTCTTCAAGGATCAAAACTCCCACTATGGATGAACAGGATTTTAATGCATATATTATGTTTTCTAGCGATGGATGTCGCCAATAATCGCATTGATACAACTGATTAATTCTATGTGTGATTATTCTTTGTATATATATATATATATATATATATATATATATATATATATATATATATGATTGATACTTCTTTATAGAAGATGACCATCTCTTCTTGCTTTTAAAATGAAGATTTGTTTGATCACTCAGTATAAAAGGATTTTAAAGCGATAGAAAATGAAGAAAATCATACGCGTTTGCAAACAATTTATAAAAGCCTATTCTTACTATGCTGTCTTAAAGCACAGTTAAATGAATATTATAGAGGATAGAAAAGACGGAAAGCATTTAAAATGATAAAAGACTCGACCTCAAAAAAGCCACTGGCGCAGATAAAAGTCCAGTCATAGTCCTTAAGAATATCAACCCAGAATAATCCCGGAATCTAGCAAAGTTAATGGCTGCTTGAAATCTTTCCCAAGCATGTGGCAGGTGGCAAGCTCGGTGTTGAAGAACACGGCAACCGATCTTCCTTCTCCCAGTATAGATCCATTATTCTCCTCATTATCAGCAGTAAGCTTTTTGAGGGCTTAATCCACAAGAAGTTCGTCGAGCACCTGGATAGGAAAAAACCTCTTGTGCGACGAGCAGTATTAGTTTCGAAGAGCCCGATCCACTGCTGATGTCATAACTACAACTATACACAGAATTAGTGAAGCCCTTGTCGGCACACATACCGCAAAGACCATAGCATTAGATATTTCGAAAGGCTTCGACATGGTGTGGCAAAGTTTTGCGACACAAGCTCTCCGGCTAGGGAATCACCATCCTTTCTAACTGGCAGATCTCGGAATCTATTTATTAACGGCCAGTCCTCCGAGGCCCTGGCGGTAATGGCAAGTGCACCCAGGGATCACTTCTCGGACAAACCGTCTTTCTGGTTTATATGAATGATCTACATAAAAATATATTCCGATCGTTTGTAAACGTCTATGCCGATGATATGACGATATACGGGCGCACCTCTAAAAGACTTGACGATCAGAGATTGGCGGCTGATCTTTTTGCGGATCTAACAATAACTTCACAGTGAGAAAAACAGCGTCTTCCCAAGAATCACTGCTTTGTGAAACAGACTCCCGAGAGGATGCTTTCCCGATCAATACCATCTTAGCTTATTCATGTCTACAGTTAACTATTATCTTTCCTATATGCCTTGCGTACAATTTCAATCAGTAACTGCCTACCCTGGAGATTGTGCTTGCTCAATATTTAGTAAAGCAAATTACGATAACCATGAATCTAGATTCGCTTATTCTCTTGCATTAATCATTTAACTCAGTTGCCGTTATCAAATGAAATAATGTGGCCGAGTGAAAACGCCGTCAAATTCGAAATTATTATTAATGAGTGGAAGGCTATTTTCTTATTGGCTTTGAAAACGAAGTGAAATGACAAAGCAAAATATCTGCGTTAGTGTGGATGAATTAGATTTCAGATCGGCAGACATCTTGCTTTCCAGTTGAAAAAAATAAAGAAACACAATTTTTCATTATCGAAAAGATTAAAAAATGACAGATGTTGAATGTCATAAATTTTTAAATCAACTAAAATTAGAAAAAAAAAAGATCATATGGATAATCAATTACAAAATTGCATTATTAAGATTCGGTAAAAGTTAGTAGCTGCCTTTTGTAAAAAAAATTATACACGTTTCCAAACATAATTCTTGCTAGAAACTTTTGCAGGCACCTAAAATACACATAAATAAAATACAACGGACCCATGTCTTCGTAAAATGCATCTATTGGATGCTTCAGTGCATATCATCAGTGATTTTTCTATGCAAAACTGTTCATATCTATCAATCTATCTCAGTCTGTTGATTATCTATCTATCTATCTATCTATCTATCTATCTATCTATCTATTTCAGTCTGTTCATTATCTATCTCAATTTGTTTTTATTTATCAATGTCATAATTTATTATATGCCTCATTTTTTCACGACTGCGTCATGAAAGCTGTTCATGCCCACTTCCTCGAAAGTTTTTTTAGGAAAGGCATGAATCCAATTATCCCTAACCCCTTTTTCTTGAACAATTACCTTAACATATCACTAATATGCTTTTACGTTTTACTTAAAAGAAAGTGCATTTTGGCAAACCACTCCTCCATTAATATCTTATATGTTTATGTAATCGTTGCAAAATGTTGTTAACTCCATAAAAATCTTTGAAAGTTTTTTGAATTTAATTTCACTCGTTGATTTACTCTAAACCTCTTCTATTTTGACTATTTTCAGGAATTCTTGAAAGTTCTGGCAATGAAACTCAGAAGATCTATTCGTGTTTCCAAGCCTCAATTGACCAACGAAATGTCGAGTTGGTTCCGCTACAGCTTAATACCCTTATCAATGTCACGCACAAAGACGTCACTACAAGTAAGTGCATCTTTGTATTTCTCTCAGAACAGATTTTCCTAAAGTATTTCAAAATATTATACGAAGATTCTCTAAGCGAGCTAATGATAATTATCTGAATTTAAATTCCAAATCCAGCGGAGGAGATCGTCTCGCTCCAGTTGAAGGAACTCCTCCATGATTGATCATATCTTCAGGCATTAACCGCACTCACCCCGCTTGACAAATTGCGGCTTGATAAGCCTATTTAACTCATAGGGGTTTTGAATTCAGAGTTGTCCGTCTCCTCGAAACGGTTGCCATGCAATTCTATAGGACATTGTATGTACTGTTATTTAACCCATAGTTTGGGGGAGAAGAGATGAATTTATATATTTTCCAGGAGTATTTACTCGTAAGTTCGTGTAACAAACTCGACTGGAATTCGAAATCGGTTATCCGATTCCTCCACTGAACCTGATTTAACCCTTTGAGGCCTGACCACCGGTATAGCGGTGGTAGAGAAAAATGATGTAATGCCCAGCCAGGAAACAGTGTTTTAGAAAAATTACTTAATGTTCACATGCCAGATGAACGGTGGATAACCACTTGTAACTATTTTTATATTTACCGTGAAACAATACATACCCATTATTTGCGTATTTTAACTCAGGAGCTTAGACAGAAGCGTTAAATTTGTTCATGAACGCAGGGCTTAAAGGGTTAAAAATTAATAATAATATTCATAATTTTAGAATAATAAGTGTATATATAATTTAAATCTTACCTTTTCTTGCGTATATTTATTTATTTATTAAGGACAGGTAGATAGATAATTAATTGTTTTTTTCGGCTTACCTATTTTTGCAGCTTGTTTAAAACTAGAAAATATATTTAGGTTGTAAGAATTCCTTGGAGATAATAATAAAAGTTCAAATGATTAATTGATAGTATTTTGGGTCCCCAAAGTATTTGAACGTAAGTAAATATAATTCGTTACACTAATCGAACATCCAAACATAAAGTACCTGGTATTACCAAGTGGTCACTCATCTAAGGACTAACCAGGCTCGATGCTGCTTAACTTCAGTGTTTCTTAATCCCAGAAGACAGGTGAGGAAAACGAATGGTAAAATTTACCCGACTTTTGAAGTTTTGTGATTCCTTGCGAATCCACGTCGTCATTTTGTGATTCCTTGCGAATCCACGTCGTCATTTTGTGATTCCTTGCGAATCCACGTCGTCATTTTGTGATTCCTTGCGAATCCACGTCGTCATTTTTGTGATTCCTTGCGAATCCACGTCGCCATTTTGTGATTCCTTGCGAATCCACGTCGCCATTTTGTAATTCCTTGCGAATCCACGTCGTCATTTTGTGATTCCTTGCGAATCCACGTCGTCATTTTGTGATTCCTTGCGAATCCACGTCGCCATTTTGTGATTCCTTGCGAATTCACGTCGTCATTTTGTGATTTGGACGGCTTCGCTTTCCCTTTGCTATTTCAAGCGAAAACTCAATCCATCGTTATATTTCGTAGACGCCGGTCCTAGTAGTAACGCCATCCAATAATATCGCACTAGTAATACTTGTGATAATCAAAAAAAAGTATAATGATCAGTAATAGAGAATAGGAGGTACGGTGGAGTAATTGTGCAATTCCTTGCGAAAGAACGTCGCCATTTGATGAATCAGAGAGCCGAGTTCGAATTCCAGTTGAATCCATTCCACGTCGTCATTTTGATGATTCTTGACTATGGTAAATCCAGACTGAGTTCGCCATTTCTGACAAATTCAATTGCGAGAAAGAAACGTCGTCATTTCGGCAGCTGATTCGAATTCAGTAAGAATCAACGTCATTCACTTTTTGCTGATGTGGGGACGGTTTGAACCCCTTCTTGACAAATTTCCAAGAAGACCGATTTTATAGATCTTCTATAGTTCGTTGGCAAATATTCGAGAAAGAAAAGTTCAGGTTGAGAAAGACGCCGGTCCAAGAAGATAAACTTTACTTGGAGCTACAAAGATCAGCAAGCTATCGAGAGCTATGACCAAGCAGGTCTTGAAGGGACATGGTAAAAGAAAATAATGCATCAGTATTCTCGATGGTTCTAAATTTGTTTTCTCTCTGATTTTGGTCTTTATCAGATTTGCTCTTTGTATCTAAATGTTTGAAGGCGAACAACCATCAAATTAACTTTCATGATATTAAATATAATGGAGGCACGGTTTAATGAATCGGATTGAAGAATCGGGGAGCTGAGTTCGAATTCCAGTAGAATCCATTACATTCACTTACGTGCTAATACCCTTGGGGAAGGTTTGAACCCCCTTCTCCCGACAAACTAGCAGGACAGACCGATTTCTATAGCCTTCTATAGTTCTATGGCAAATGGTCTACTGCAGAAAGAAATTGCAACCTACTGCTGGAAAAAAATCTGCCTCGTCAATTATATATCGAAAGATACATGATCGCCTAAGCGTGTATCACGCATGGCACATAACTGACTGAATAAGAATAGTATAGAAAAGAGAATCGTATTCCGTATAGTAGTAGAATAAAGAGAGTGAACGTATAGAAATAGTGAATAGACAAGAAGAGTGAAGAGAGAGAGAGATATTTATTGTACAAAAGGTATAAATACGCCACATGGGCAAAATTGGGATGTCGGGAGGCTGGCCTTCAACTTAGCTCGCCTCATTTACTGAACCAATCGTTCAAACATTGTTCCTTTCACCAAAACATCTCATCCTCATAATACTGTTATACACATACGCCACAATGCCACAGTCACTCAAGGAAATGTTACCTAATCCCCATATATACAGCTGGGCCGATAAAACTTTTCAAACTATAAATACCCAATGTTCATGATATAAAACTATTTACACAACTAAACAAAACTAGTGTTAGGAACAAAGATTTAGACATGGCAAAATAGCAGATTGGGCTGCTCGGTTCGAGGCTAAAAGAATTCGAATTATAAAGTTTCTTATTTGCACGGAAATATTACAAGAGAGATTTTCTTTTAACAACAATTTTAGTCTGTCAGTTATGTGCCATGCGGGATACGTGGCTGACCAATCTAATAATGGCAGAGATAACAGTTAACTAGACGAAAATATACTGCAGGATTAATAAATTTTTTTTCCATGCTTCTGTCCTTGTAATTACACGCTCTAGCAATCCCACATTTAAACATGCTAACAATAACGAAATCTCACAATAATATCATAATATATCATAATATTTATTGTACTAATGTACAAAAAGGTCAAAAAGCGGGAAAGGAGGGTCTTCTTCTGTCTCATCATTAAACTTAGCTAGCCGCAAACACTGACCCAAACATACGAACAATATTTCTTTCACCAAAACAACTCATTCTTACTTACCATTCTTACCTAGTACACCATAATGCCTCAGAAACTCTATGAAGTTCTCAACAGTCCCCATATATACAATTCACTGTCTGTGGGAGGAAGGGAATAAAGTAACAATTAAAAAACTAAAAGAAAAACAATGAGTATTTACAAATGTGTACAAAACTATATACAAGAAACTAAAAAAAATTTTTGTTAGTAATAAATACACCACCCAACCCAACAAGCCCTAACTGTGGCAGTAACCTCAGTTAACTGGATGAAATCAACGCGGGGTTTTAAAAATTATAAAACATTCCTACATCAAGAGTGAACAGAGATCGTATAATCACGCTAATTCCTATTTATTCACGCCATTTATGATCACGTGACCTACTTAATAATTGAGTCGCCCGTGTTACTCATTATCGATCTTGTATCAAACCAGAGTGTCGGCAACGACACTTACTCTTATAGAACACTAAGTTTCCCTAGTTTCTACAGAATTCACAATATTCCGAAATAAGTAAGAAATATTCCAAAACCGAAAAAGAGATTTACGCATTTCTTGAGAAGCGTCAGAAATTATTGACGTCGGCTTTCCGGAAAATATACAACAATCTTGAATATCTCGTCTGCTTTTTCTTCATATCCCCTCCTCGGATATTTTCAGACATCCCTTTCTTTCTATCTCTCGCAGTTGGAAAAGATGAATGAAGGCTTGCACCAGCTTCGCCTACGCTTCAGAGAAAGTCGCCAAGAATCTATAAATACGAAATCAGTCCAGAATATATCCAGCTATTTTGAATAACTCGTCTGTGCATTCCTCACGTCTCGTGTCGAGTTTACTGGTCAAACATCGCATCAATCATGTCTCTGGGGCCTCGTTCAGCAATTTGGATATAGCTTTTTGCAACTTTCGATGTTTGTTTTTTTTTTCTCTTCTTCCTGACGGTAAATTCACCGTTTAAATGCATCAGATGATCTCGAAAAAGAACACAGCAGACTGTTTTGAAATGTTGAAGAGATGATGAATTTGTCAGGTGACAAAGGGTCGATTTGAAGTGGACTAAAATGCCATTACTGCTTTTGAGTTAATATTAAACGGAGGGCCCCAGTACCAAGATTACTCAAGTTTGACAACCCCCCCAAAAAAACAAAAAAAAACAAAAAAAAAACAAAAAAAAACAAAAACAAAAAAAAAAACCGATAAAATTACTATTAATGAGTAAACTCAGAAATATCGAATTCAAAGCACAGACTACGTGTAATCGCTCTACAGGAGGGGCCCAAACGTTAGAAAAAGGTCACCATTTGAATGCATAGAATTTCATTAAAGGAAAGAATCTAGATGTGAGAAGTACACATAATAAATAACACTGACTAACAATGTTTTTTTCTACAGAAACAAGAATGCAGTTTTCTCGGATGGTCTTTTGAGTCGATCACGAAAATTAACTCCATTTTACATGAAATGACTCCAATTTGTTTGTAATATATAAATTAAATTTTTCCAAATTTCGAAAAATTTAAATTTATGAGTATATCAACATGTTCATATAAATGTATTACGTTCTTTAAAATATTTAAGAAAAACAGGTTTATTTATTAAAAGAAAATCTTTACAAAAAAAAATGTAGTTTATTTCTCCTTTTTTTTTCTGTGTTTACCAACTGGCTGATTTCTATAAAGATCCCAGCAAAAGTCAGTTAGGATAGCAGGACTCCACTTGCCTTTATAACGATTTCCTATTTTGACGATATCTTGGTGGGGCATTTCTCAATGTTCGTCACTGACTGCTGCTGCTTTTTCTGGAAAGTAGTGTAGATGTGAGTGCAACAAATACACATTTAGTGATATACTGCATCCTAAATTTTATATTAATATATTTTTAATAACGTAATAGGTTAGATAGGATGATGTCTATATTACAATATTACAATAACCAAGAATATACTGTTTGTGTTTAGTAATATTACGTATATGAAATTAAATAAAACGTCAAAAGTGCATTAGCTTATCTCACCTGTTCTCGTGGAACCCTTGGGGACCTTTTGCGGAACGGTAGATTTCCAAGGAACAGCGGTTGAGAAACGCTTGTCTAGGTACTGAGGCCGAATAGAAACAAAATATACTTACTATGTTTGTCTACTAAACAAAAGTAACAGTGGTGTAATTTTGGGCTTCATGCCAGACAATTGACATTCCAAATGGAGGGCTATTCAATTGTCTTTTTGATATATATATATATATATATATAGTGTAACCCGGATATAAGAGAGTTGTCGGGACCGGAGAAGAAGTCTCTTATATCCGGGTTTCTCTTATATCCGAGTTTGGTCTATTTTATATACATTAACATAGGCTCTAATTTGGGACCAGAGAAAATCTCTCTTATATCCGGGTTTCTCTTATATCAGGGTCTCTTATATCCGGGTTACAGTGTGTATATATATATATATATATATATAAATAAAATAAGAAACAAAAAAATAAAAACGAGCAATATAATTTGACCCAAATAAATAAACAAAGCGACTTCCGGCAAAAATAACCGCCATAATAGAATACCCACAATGCACCACTAACCCGTATATATATAAATAGCCGAGAAAAATAACAGCATATGTGGCCTGACGATTGCATATAGCATGAAACAGACTGTCGCCTCTAAGTGTTGACTTCTATGTTCACTTTTATATTTACACGCTCTATCTCTGATATTGAGCACTTTATCCCATAAATATAGCACACCTTAAGACTATATTTCTTTATATATATATATATATATATATATATATATATATTTTTTTATATATATATATATATATATATATATATATATATATTAAAAAAGGTTAAGTAAAGACTTAGGTATTTTAAATTTTTATTAATATTTCAATAGTTAAACAATTTTTTTTTCTTTTAGATATAGTTAAAAAATTTTTTTGAACAACATCTAAAATATTTATGACAGATTTAATTTAGGAATATCCGAACAGTGACGTTCCATGTCACGTGACGTCTGCGGCTCGCGACGGACGCTACTTGCTAAGAAACAGTAATTTTAATTTATTTGTAACAAACAGTTATCTTTGATGAAAGATTGAGGGCAATCTGAAATATCAATTATATATATAAATAAATAAATACTTTCATAAAATAAAACATTATTATTTTTTTTAATTTGCAACTTTTTCTATATATACATATTAAGAAAGTATACGTGGCTTCTCATTATATATATATATATATATATATATATATATATATATATATATATATATATATGTATATCTTGGTCACCAAGTTTGATTCTAGAATATAAATTGTACATTTTTTTTTTTAACAAGGTGGAGGATTATTTCTTTTATCCTTTTAAAAAAGTTACAGAGCCACATATGTAGAAGAATTTATTTGGACTATTTTTTCTATTTTCCTCTTGGCATTTTTAATTATTCATTTTTGTATAATCTGGAAATGAGAAATAAAAGAGTTAAATTTTTTCGAAAACTTGAAAATTTGAAATAAATGGTAGCTCGCAACTTAAAAAAAACCCCAAAATCTGGAGTCAGTTCGTAAAAAAAGATAAATGTTATTTTCATGACCATACAACCAGAACGGCCCTAGAAAACGACATTCTCATCTTTGTAGTCGACAAAAATTTAAATTTTGTTGGACAATGTAAACGATAACAGGGACCCTGGAGCAAGGTACATAGTGTGGTTCAAAGTCACTAAAACGGAGGAAATGAACTTCCTGTTTATTTATTTATTTTTAAATTTAATCATTTCACTCCAAGCATGGTAATAAAGCCGCTAAAACGCAAGGGGGTTATTGAGTGCGTGAGAATATATAAAACATTGTTAAGAGGGGATTTAATTAAAGAACAATGGAAGATCAGGAAGTAAGAAGAGAGAAGATGGCGAGTGATATTTCTTTTGAAATTTTTGAAGTTCAAAGTCGACTGGAAAGCAAGAAAGAGAAAGAAAGTTCCACAGCCAATAAGAGCAAGAGAAGAAACTCTTATCATAGAACTTACGGTCACATCTAACCATATCAACTATAACATGATGAAACCTTTCCGACAAACTAGTACCGCGCTTAAATTTATAAAGTCTAGGTACCAAAGAGGAAAATCAGCAGAACACTTGCCATGGAAATATTTACAGAAAAGGCACAGAGAAGCCACGTTACGAAGGTGAGAAAATGACTCAAGCTAAAATGCCAGGTCAAGACCAATAAAATTAGAGATTAATTATGTTTTATCATGAATATCTACAAGGGTCAAGTGAAAAATTCATAGGCTGTTGCATTCTGTACCAGAATATAACAGTTTGTGTCGCACTTAGTCCTAAGTTGTTGATCTATTCGAATCTTTGTCCGCCATTATAAATTTTAACAAAGCAGACATGTACCTAGTAATCTTCTTTCTTAAATCTTAGCTATCTGGAAATCACAGATGAAAGTTACCCCATCCACACACCCAAAAGAAAGAAGAATATGATAAAAAGAGGAAAAGCCGCGTAGTCTAAACCATTTCAGGTGCTGCCATATTTTTGAACGCCAAACTTCTTGCCTTCAAGACAGCAAAAATCAGTAATGAATATACTGATTACAGCTAAACGTATTAGCATAAATATGGATCAATCAATAAATAATCTTGTGTAGATATGTAGATAAAAAACAAACAAATTATCCGCAGATTTTGAAATATGATTTCAAAATAACAAAATCTTTTCATTTTTGGGAATGGAGCAAGAATTGCCGTTCTAATTGCTAGTCTGAAATGAACTTCACAAAGAAACCATGCTATTTGCAGAAATTAAATGAAAATCAACGTCTTCAAAGAAATTATATTTCAAACGTATTCACCATTACCGTTCTTTATTCACTGCAAACGGAACTCTGCGAATCGCTGTTGGAAGTCGACAGAATGTAAGTAAAGTATTTTTCAGTGCTAATTAAAAAAAAAAAAAAAAAAAAAAAAACATACAGAGATCCGCAAAAGTGTAGAAAGAAATAATCTCATTCTAGAGGTCAGCTAGTTTGTGCTTCTCCGGGTCAGATCATAACAGTGGTCAAGATAAAAATACACCGCAGGACTGTCCAACAGATACACGGACAAATATGTTAAATGTTGTTAAAACCCTCCTCGTTGCCAACCGGATGTGGATTCAATGTCTGAGTCAGTATTATCAGACATAAATTTTGATTCAGAGAAACAGACCAAGACTAATATGGGCGTATGACGGCATCACGTTGAAACACCAGTTCTCGTACGATAACCAAAGTTAAGACAATGTCGAGCCTGGTCAGTACCTAGATGGGTGACCTCTTGCGAATATAAGGTGCTGTAAGTGTGGATGTGCGGGTGGTGTAATGTGTAATGGTAATTTTTAATCGGAGTCCTGAGAGCCAATTCCGTTGGGTCTGTTATATTCACTTACGCGCAAGTACCCTTGGGAACGATATGAATACACCCATTCTTCCCCCCCAACTATGGGGTAATTAGTAAGCCTTGTATTACTAAATCATTATTATCTTAAGAAATATTAAAATCCCAAAATATTTATTGGCTAAAAATAACCCGCAAAGGGTTGATAAACCGTAAAAATAAATAAATCTATCAAGACTGACATGAAATATCCTCTCAAAAGGGTAACCAGAATAATATATAAACTCGACCACTGAATTATGCGATTTGTTCAAAATTTCGAAGTGGCAGGACTATGGCGACAGAGAGGTGAAGAAGACCGAAACATAAAATATTCGAAACGTTTTGAATATAGCAACCAAACTGAGTATACCAATCCTAATTGAAAGATACACACACACACACACACACACACACACACACACACACACATATATATATATATATATATATATATATATATATATATATGTTGTAGAGTAGTTATCACAGTGGAGGCTTGTATTTCGCTAAGTCGGTCCTAAAAGGGTCCGACGTACAAAACTTTAGGAACTTGAAATAAGAGTTAATGACGCAGCAATCTAGTTGTGATGGTTGATACTTCAATGTCCGACATCGACTGACTCACCCAACTCCACTGAGCCCACCTGGCGACCGCTACTACTACTACTACTTATTATCTGTGGGAGAGTCTATTACAATAGAATAAGTAATGTTCTGGTATAACAATATATATAATGATGATTATCCAAAGAATTCGGCATAATTTGTTAACTGAATAGAGGAGCATTCAAGTTACGATTGATAACGAAATTTATCAAAATTAATTGTTGATAAACGTAATTACTAAATTTTAAAAGAAATAATCATGACAGACTGAAAATTGCTTCCACCTGAATTAGACTGTTTGGTTAAGAGGGGATTTTGATAGTCAGAGAGTACAGTTGTCTCAGGCAAAAAAAAGGTAAACCTATCAATACGAAGCGAATAAAAAAATTCTATATCGTAATAAGAAAATACGTTAATTGTTGCGAATATAGAAAAATTTCCCACCTAAATCATTAAAAAATATCTGTAATTAAGAAAAGAGTAACTACCAGACAATTCTGTTAAAAAAACTAATGTAAAACTGAGTCGTTTCATTTTATTCATCACAGTGAAGTAATGGATAGCGGTTTGCATTAAGGAATCGGAGAACCGATTTCAAATTCAAGTCGAATCCATTACATTACTCTTGGGAAAGGTATGGATCCTCTTCTTCTTCCCCCCAGCTATGGGTAAATAGCAGGATAGACCGTGTTCTATAGCATTGGATAGCAACTGGTCTACCGCAGAAAGAGATGGCAACCTACTGCGGGAAAAAAAATCTGCCTCGTCCGTCATTTATCGGTAGATACATGATCGCATAAGCGTATGTCAAGCATGGCACATAACTGATCTACCTATCTCGGACTGTTTACATGTATGCATATATCTATCACAGTCTGATGATTATCTATCTATCTATCTATCTATCTATCTATCTATCTATCTAATCCATTACATTCACTTATGTGCTAATACCCTTTGGAAACGTATGGATACTCTTCTCCCCACCCCCAGCTATGGGTAAATAGCAGGACAGTCCAGGTTCTATAGCCTTGGATGGCAACTGGTCTACCGCAGAAAGAAATGGCAACCTAGCGCGGGAAAAAATCTGCCTTGTCAGTTATTTATCAAAAGATACATGATCGCCTAAGCGTATGTCAAGCATGGCACATAACTGATCTATCTATCTAGGACTGTTTACATGTATGCATATATCTATCACATTCTACTGATATCTATCTATCTATCTATCTATCTATCTATCTATCTATCTAATCCATTACACTCACTTACGGGCTAATACTCTTGGGAAAGGTACTCCCCCCAGCTATGGGTAAATAGCAGGACAGACTGTTTTTTTTTTGGCCTTGGATAGCAACTACCGCAGAAAGAAATGGCGACCTACCGTGAAAAAAAAATCTGCCTCGTCAGTCATGTATCGAAAGATACATGGTCGCCTACGCGTGTATCACGCTTAGCACATGCCTGATTAGCAGTCTATTTTGTTTATTTTCCTTTGATATTGGCATATTTTTGTGATTAATTGCTGTATCGTGATTTCTATCAAAAGTAAAAACTTATTGTTGCATATTACATCTTCTTTTTCTATACGCCGCGTCCCTTCAAGCCATGGACGAACAAAACTCACCAAAACTTCCTCTATCTTCTGGCCTCTACCAGATCTTCTCCCCTTTTGTACGGCTCTCACCACCCATTCAGCTATCCATTCATACAAAACCTCCAGGTAGTGGACTCGCTGCCTTCCCCTATCTCACTTACATTTTAGATGCCATGTGAGGGTCATTTTTTCCAAGCCTACTTTCTTCATAATGTGTCCAAGGATTTTTAACCCTGATTTTGTATTCTTTTTGTTACGTTTTATTTAAGACATCCTCGTTGCTTGTTCAATCCATCCATGGAATTCCCATAAGTGCCCTCCTCTTAATATTGCTAAGATTATACGATATTGAGATTAATCAAGTCTAATCCAATCGATACAGAAGCTAGGGGGCCCACAGCGGTCTATAATAACACCAAATTTCATAATTGCATATATTACCTCTTCGTAACTCGTATATGTATAATTTGTACATTACTTTTCTTATATATATATAAAAGTGGTCTATTTTAAGGGGGAAGAATTTAAAGAAAAATAAGAAAGTTTTTATATGAATATGGAAAATGCAGCATGCTGTCATAACACATATGGTAACCAGAAATGACAGTAGTAGAATGGAAGAAATGAGAAAGATGAAGAAAACCAGAGGAAGACATTAGAGACAATCTAAGGTGGATAAACGCTAAATCATCGAAGGCAAGAACGTGTATAGATTAACAAACAAAACGAATGTAATTATTTCCACACTATCGGCACACTGACGCTTTCGTATTGAAAAACGTGAATAAAAACTGAAGATTCGGGTGGGTCCAAGGATAACAAAATAGCACAGCGTGTAACAGTCTGTTAATGGAAAACTAATGAAAAAATGTTATCTATCTATCTATCTATCTATGTTAGTCTGTTCTTTTCTTCCTTGCTTTTTCTTTCTCTGTATCTTAGTCTGTGCTTTTCTTTCTTTCTTTCTTTCTTTCTTTCTTTCTTTCTATCTATCTATCTATCTATGTTAGTTTGTTCTTTTCTTTCTTACTTTTTTCTTTAGTCTTTATCTTTAGTTTGTTCTATCTTTATCTTTCTATCTATCTATCTATCTATCTATCTATCTATCTATCTATCTATCTATCTATCTATGGCCAGGTGGTTAGTACGTTCGATTTCTGACCATGAGACCCGTGTTCGAATCTCACCATAGGCAGTCTGTCCAGAATGTGACTTTTTGATGTTATCTCTCTGGAGGAGGCGATCCCTTCCTTGGAAAGTGCCTAAAATCCATAAGGTCGACCCAAGTCTTGGGAGCCGTCGGGTGTTGTGCTAGGACGAGGTCACAAGCCCGGCGTTTGAGCGTGCTGGCCTTGTTCAAATTATTAATCACGCTAGATAACGCGTAATCTCTCAGAAACCGCTCAGCATAGTATAAACCACAGGTGGCCTCTGTGGGTATTGAACAAACACAAATGTACCTGAGCAGGCGTCTGCAATAGGGATTAACTAGACTGCATTCCTGCGCTATCTATCTATCTATCTATCTGACAGTTTCTATCTATCTATCTATCTATCTATCTATGTATTACAACGTAGGTGATCATGGTTCTCCATCACCCTCTATCCATTTGTTGTAGAGTAGTTTTCACAGTGCAGGCTTGTATTTCACTAAGTCGGTCCTAAAAAACGTTCGACGTACAAAACGTTAGGAACTTGAAATAATAGTCAATGACGCAGCAATCTAGTTGTGGTGGTTGATATCCGAGAATGTCCGACATCGACTGACTCACCAACTCACTGAACCCCCTGGCGACTGCTACTACTACTACTACTACTTATTATATGTGGGAGAGTCTATTAACCATAGAATAGGTATGTTCTAGTATAACACCATTGCAGTTCTCAAGAAGTTCCTTCCCTCTGCCACCTCCCCCAGACCACGTTCTGTCATCCAATTGCTTAAGTATGGTATGTCATGCGTTGTGTTCCCTTGTCACTCTTTTCCTCTTTTCAACCCGTATCAGATTCTCCAGGGCATCCTTCCTCATTATGTGACCCAGAAATTTCAGCTGCCTCTTCCTGTTGTTAAGTATAAGCCTCCCCCTTGTTTGCAACCACTGTAAGACCTCATCGTTGCTCACACGCTCGGTCCATGATATCCTTAGCATCCTTCTGTAGAACCACATCTCCTTCGCCTCGAGTCTCTTCATCATCTTTGAGGAGACCTCCAATATTCGCTGCCGTAAAGAAGGAAAGATGTCACATAACAGCTCAGTATTGTTTTCTTTGTTACGAAATAAATCCCACTGTGTCGCAATACTCTGCCCAGCTTTTGGAATGCGTCCTTAGCCATCCAAATACGTTTACGGATCTCAGTGTCGCATTTACCGTCCCATGTCAAGACGCTTCCCAGATATTTAAACTTCCGCGTCTGCTTGATTCTAATGTTCCCGACCTGAAAATCGCATTTTGGGCTCATCCTCTTACTGATGGCCATGCATTCTATTTTCTTGTAGTTTATGCTTAGCCCCTTCTTCACTTTCCCCGTCGCTACCTTCTGTAAGAGATTTTGTAATTTCTTTTCCCTGTCTGCTATCAGTACTGTGTCATCTTATGTTGTTAACATTGTGGCCGCTAATGATGATTCCAGGTAGGGTTTTCAATTCTCTCAGTATTGCCTCGCTGTATAGGTTGAACAGGTCCGGTGAGAAGATGCATCCTTGCCTTTCGGCACTTTTTATTCAATACCACATTGTCATAATCACTGATACACCCCAGTCACACACTCATCTCAGTTATTTTTGCGCATTTTGATAAATTTGAGATCATTTGATCAAAAATTGACTATGATATTAGACTACAATAGGATGTCAATTTTTCATAGCCTGTATTATATTCGCACACACTCACACATCTATCTATCTATCTATCTATCTATCTATCTATCTATCTATCTATCTATCTATCTAACACGGCCGACCTGGCTTGATCCTGGGTCGTTCCCATGCTGGTTAGTACTGTCACCGGTCAACTGATGGTTATCTGCTGACCACTTCAGTTCTGTCCCGTTCTTTGATCGCAGAGCAGTGAAGATCGAATTTGTTTAAATGTCCGTATAACCACTCTGAAGATGGCTCAGGTGAGCCGAAAGCTTAGATCAAAAACATCATAATAAAAATAAAATTTGGAATTTTAAGTTTATTTTCTTCCAAAATTAAAGCAGCCTTAGGAACTTTAGAACGGTTCATGATCAAACATAAGAGACATTCGTTGTCTGTTATATTTAAAAGTATAGGTTCATATATATATATATATATATATATATATATATAAAAATATAAGAAAAAAAACAAAAAAAATCTTAATATGCAATTATGCTGTATTAATGTTAATTGCATATTAAGATTTTTTTTTTGTATATTTTTCTTCATACTGTCGGATCTATATCCATATATTTGCTTACATATATATATATATATATATATATATATATATATATATATATGAACCTATATTTTTAAATATAACAGACAAAAATATTTAAAATATAGGTTCATATATATATATATATATATATATATATATATATATATATATATGTATGTATGTATGTATATATATATATATATATATATATATATATATATATATATACATATATATATGAACCTATATTTTTAAATATAACAGACAACGAATGTCTATTATGTTTGATCATGAGCCGTTCTAAACTTCGTAAGGCTGCTTTAATGTTGGAAGAAAATAAAAAATAATAATTGTCCAACATATATATATATATATATATATATATATATATATATATATATATATATATATATATATAAAAGACAATATGAGAACTATAATAGTTCCTGACGCATTTCGTCTGATGTGGATTTTCTCATTGCAAAAAAACGAAATGAATTTATTAAACAAAGTAACTAATAATAACAAAACAAAATGTCCTTAGTAACTGGAAGAATTTAGAGAATTGCGTCGGCAACTATTACAGTTTTCCTATTGTCTTTTACATTTATAAATATCTTTTTCTACAGGTTAGCTCTGAGAAATTTATATATATATATATATATATATATATATATATATATATTCATGCGCATCGAGAATGTACAACTTTGTAGCACTTAAAAACATTGAGATATGAAATAATTTGTGATTCAGATTGCAATCCAATACAGATAAAAACGAAAGAAATGCGAAAATGTAAAAATCAACTAAAAATACCTTCAAGTTTTGAGAGCAACATTTTTTTTTATTTTACGCAAAATAAATGGACGGCATTCTGACGCAAATCAGGAATTAAAACGCTTAAAAAAGGATCTATTATTAGTGAACCAATTCTTTGAGATCTGACACTAATCTCTGTATTAAGCCAAGCAGTCAAGCGTCATTTATCCCTAGTTCTATGAGTTATTGATTGGTCTTAAGTTATCGATTATTCCTACGTATTTGTTAGCATCGATTACTGTGATATTCCTGTCTTGATTTCAAATATAGATGCAAAATAACAAGATAGGAAAGTCAGCATACTTACAGGTTGTCTTACGGCATGGCATTTCCTGCTACTTAGTTGGCCATATTTAAATACATCCCGATAAGACAAAGCAGGAAAGACGCTTATGTTTTTCGAATAGATATTTCTATTAAGACGTGAGTGTTTTAACGATTAAAACAGAAAA